TATATATATATATATATGTATGTATATATATATATATATGTATGTATATATATATATATGTATGTATATATATATATATATGTATGTGTGTGTGTGTGTGTGTGTGTGTATAAACTTTGTAGTATTTGTTGTATGTAAAAAAAAACTAGAATTAGTATTTAAACTGGACAGGCAAAATGATTTTAATTTTTACATTTAACATCTCTTGCATATTCCAGCAATGATTTTATGAAGTTTATAAAAATAATTCCTAATTTTTAAGTCAAAGTTAAAAATGCATTAGGAGTTGTGGGGTGTGACAAAATGTTGGTTTTTATTAGATAGTGATGAGAGGATTTTACCAAATCTATCTATTTGACATGTAATCATTTAAAACGATTTCTTCTCAATACAAGCCATCGCATAAGTATGTATTGAACTACTAATACAGTTAATATTAAACTAAATGGAAAACCTAACTTGTTTAGTTAATAACAAAAAAGGTTCAATCGTCATCTGGACCAGTTTCTTTAGAAAGGGTCCAAAAATTATTATCTGTTTGCTGCTATAATAATTTAGAACAACTTTCCTCACATTTAAAAACTATTCATGTCACTAACCCGTTTTAGCAAAGGCGCTAACCTTAAAATATTTTAAAGGCTTTTGTTTGATGCAGCCATTTCTTTAAATACTCCTGTTTTAATCATTTGTATTGTAATGGACAAAGGCCCCTTCCCGACAGCCCCTGAATGCACCACAGTGTTCACACATGCTGTGAGGCCCTTGTCTCTTTGGTCTGCTGCTCTCAAATGCATCAAGCTCTCCCCTCCACCACCTCTCTGTCCCCCAGCGGTTCGTTCTCTGGGTGATGCCTCGCAGGGATCCAGCGTTTTAAAACGTGATGATAACAGTGAAAACTCCCTCTTCTTGGTGCTCCTAAGTCTTTCCATCCACCCCTTCCCTTCTCTTGCCACATTTTGTTTGTGCCTCTGTTCATTTGGCTGCCTTGGCTGTTACAACCACAGAGACCTTAATGTGTTTGGACACATTTGACAGTCTGAGACGAACAAAACAACAAAAAGCAAGCAGCATCACTGCTGTGTCACTCTCACAGTGTCAGTGTGGTTCAATGGATGATGGCAAAGCAATTCATATCACATCAGTTGGTCAAACATCAGGGAAGACAACACTATCTGATAAGAACTGATCTTGTGATAAGACAAGACACAAGAATCAAAATAACAAGTGTGTGCGTTAGGGTCAATAACAGTGCAGGAAGCAAAGTAATGATAAAAGCTGTTTTAATAATAGAAGCTTCTCACAATGCAAATTTACAAAAAGATAAAAACTGAATCGTCAAAAAAAGTTTACAAGCTTTGATTCACATTTTATTCGTACTGAACTAGCCTCATAAGGGTTCTATCAAATCACTGTTTTAGATTGTTTTAAATACAAATAGCTACACGAAAGATAACGTTACACCTGTAGATGCCACAAAATACTGCAGTTCCTTCTTTTACGAGTCGTCTTAGAAGGTTTGTTCATTGAGGCGTACCGCTGAATTCATCTTCGCCCAGTACAAGCAGCTGAACATGGATCGTTGTTCCATCTACGCTCCAGCGCAGAGGCCACACTAACAGTCAGAATCGATGTCAGGCTTGTGTTTGGGTTCCTGCAGGAAGATCGCAGGGATTAATAAGACCACGATGCAAGTGTGGCATACTTCACTTGCTCTCTCTCCTGCTAACAAAGGCTTAATATCATTCACAACACAGCTGACTAGCAGGCTAATACTGCTGAACAGGAAATGTGCAGCTCCACTGACATAAAATGGATTAGAGAAGTCCTTGATTTTCTTAAAGTGGATGGAAATAAAACTGACTTTGACCAGTAAGGCTGAATTTATTGTGTGAATGATTAGGAAGCATTCACTCTGTTGGGATCCATTTTTAAGCATTTTTCTCATTCCACTTTTATTTTTTTTATTTTTTTTGCTATTTCAAATGTTCAGCTCTATCAGGACAATCCTGTTATAACTTGTGGGTTTTTGTTGCAACTTTAGCTTTTTGAAATATTTAGCCTTTTCTGCCATTTTTTTCTCATATTTTACATCCTTCAAATCTTTAGATCTGTTGACAACCTTTTACTGCTCCTTGCACATTTTATTCCAGTTCTGCTTCTTCCAGCTTCCTTGTGTAAGTTCAAACATTTTTCCAGCTAATTTCAGCTGTTTTTTCAGCTGTTTTTCCAGCTGTTTTGTGCTCCTTTCAGATTCTCTCTCCTAACTACAACATTTTTGTGCTTCTTTTAACTTCTTTCTGCTAAATTCAGCTTGTTATGCTCCTTTCAGCTTATTTCTGAAAGTTTCAGCTTTTACCCCTATTTCAGCTACTATTTACCTGTTTTTTGCTCATTTTAGCTTTATCAGCTAATTCCACATTTTTTGTACTAATTTAAACTTTTTTCTGCCCAATTCAGCAAAAATGTGCTCTCTCCACTTTCTTCTTGTAATTTAAGCTTCTTTCTGCCTTTTTAGCTACTTTTCAGCAGATTTTGTGCTAATTTAATCTTTTTTCAAATAATTTCCACTTTTTTGTGCTAATTTCTGCTTCTTTCAGTCTAATTGGCAATCATGTTTGTTCTACTTTCTTCTACTAATTTAAGTTTTTCTACCTTTTCAGCTACTCTTAGCATTTTCTAGCTAATTTAATTTGTTTTTGGATAAATTCAATTTTTTTGTGGTAATTTTTGCTACTTTCAGCCTAATTTCAGCTTATTTCTGCTAGTTTCAGCTTTTTCTGCTATTTTAGCTACAATTTATATGTTTATGCTAATTTTAGCATTTTCAGCTCTTTCCACATTTTTGAGCTAATTTCAGCTCTTTCCACTTCCTTCTGGTAGTTTAAGCTTGTTCTTCCATTTCAGCTACTTTTCAGCATGTTTTTTTTTAGCTAATTTCAGCTGTTTCTCAGCAAGTTCTTCTGCAATAAGCATTCACACTGCATTTTCTCAGGAAATGCAACTTCTCTAGTTTAAATAACATGAAATCTTTCTGTCCTGTGCTGAAGTTAAAGGATGTCAGATCGTTCTTCCTGAGCACCACAGTCGTGTGTTTTGACGTGTGTGTGTATACATGCATGTATATAAAGTGCATTATCAAGCTTTTATTTCTTAAATTGTTTATTTTTTCCAACACTTTCCTGTTAGGTGAAGTGCAGGACTCACTGTGTAAACTGGATTGAAGAAAGACACAGAACTGTCGTCTCCTTCAGGTCTAAACTGCTTCAGACAAAAAAAAAAAAAAAAAACACAAAATAAAATTTTTAAAAGCTGAATTTGTGCTCCTGCAAAACCTTTACAAGAAAAAAAAAAAAACAACCTCTCGGTGTTCTTGTTGGGCAGTAAACCACTTATCTAATTGTTTACCTGCGCGCTCGATGTTGACGGCTGTACAGAAGTGGCATCAACGTTTTCTACAACTGAACTCTGAGCCGCAGTCTCTAAAACCTCCTGCAAAAGATTCAAGAATATTAAACCAACTGACGATAAATGCACTAACGTTTTTGTCTTTTGGTAATGCTGCTGTCTAGTTTCACACCCTTGTCTTCAGTGTAAGACAACTTTTAAGCAAAAAACGTTTTTATAAGACTTATGAAACCAACCTGGGTGGAAGTGGGAGACTTGCTTGTTGAGGGCTCGTCCACAGCTTCATCCTCCTCCACATACAAGGGATTATCAATGTTCTGAGGAAAGAAAACAAGTTTTATCAAAAGAAAAAGGTGGGCTGCTTTCCTTTACAACGGTTTACTGTTTTACACAATACGTAGAAAATGTGCAATTTTATGTACGGTAAATGACAAATATGAATAACAGTTTGATCAAATGTATTTGACAAAACATGTAAAGTGTAGAAGGAAAAAAGGAGGAAATTTTGCTGCCAGTTTGTGCAGCGCTGTGAGCACAATGACTCCAGTCTGCTGGGGAGCAGCAGTTTTTTTTATTTATGGACCTTGTTTGTTTCAGCAGCAGCAGAGATGGCGGTCGGCGTGCTCCTGGAGCCAAGCTGTGGTTCCCCTTCATACGCTGGGTTCTCAAAGCTCTTCCCCTGCGAGTTGCTCATGGACACAGACACACTGGGAGCCTGTAGGCAGAAAGCACAGTATATCACAGTCTGAAGGAACAGGAAGCAGTATGAAATCTCAGGAAGAATTTCTCGTTTGTTGATCAAAATCATAGCTAACCTCTAAGTTTTGCCTCGTTTCATGGTCTTCTGCCGTCGCTCCTGTTCTGGTGAAACCATCCCTGCAAATAATTACAGCAGTACGTTACTGTGATGTCATTAAAGCACTGAATCACTAAAAAGAATTGGGATGATTTTACACACAATGGAAGCGCATCCGTTAGGATTTAATAAATATTTTCGTTGATTTTTGGTGCAAAGAGGTGGTTAAAAAGTCAATGTTATGATGTAAACCATAAAGATATTAACAATCAATCATGTGTTGAGTCATTTCTCTTCTGACTGTCTCACCTGAAGCTTGAAAAATTGGGCATTGATGGCATGCTGGGTAAGCTGCTCCGTAGTCTTTCCAGCAGATTGGACTTCCTCTTGGCAGCAAAAACCAGAGCCACCAGCACGGCTACAATCACCACTGTCACACCGATGGCTATTCCCACTGACGAAAAAAGAGGAGCCACATAAAGAGGATGGTTCATAATGATTTAATTTACATGAATGCATGATTGTTTATCTGGAAATGAAACTAAACACACATGAGGATGCGACCGAGATGAAGACGTTGGTCTGGCAGTACTCTCCTTGCCAAATTGGAGGACATCTATGGAACAGAAAATAACTTTATCTCTCTCTCATAACTGATAACTTTACAGCATCCACATCACTGTTAACCAACATGAGCACATATCAGAGGATGAAAAAAAAAAGTTCTTACAAGCAGAGAGCCTTGTTGTCATCAAAATAGCACGTGCCTCCATTTTGACACTGACATGGTGGTGGCATGGTGGGTGGTGGATCAAACCCTGCGTGATCAGAAACGCAGAGTCGTTTTTACTGCTCGGCAGAAAAATTGGCAACGCTGTTGATAAGGTTTACTCAAATTTATGTCTCTTTTCCTGTGGTGCGTCATCTTTGAGGAATTAAAACCCCATCAAACACACAACACACACCTCATCTTAAAATATCTTTACTCAACACACATGACAATTTAGGACTAAATACTATAATTTTAAAGTGACAGTAATACAGTTCATAATTTCTTATCTGGTAACTCGACTGAAATGGAAACTACAGCATTTTTCGTGTAAACCAGCTCCTTTTTTGTTTATTACTCAATAAACATTGAAAAAAACACTAACGTTTCCAGAGGTTGTTCTTGTGTAAACGGGGCCTCATAGTGGGTAGATCACTTTGACTTGGTTATTTTAAAAATAGCTTGCATGCTGAAAAAGTCTAGACCCCCCCAAACATTAAATATTAGTTCACCCAGCGCTGTTTCTATTTCTACCTGAATGAATCCACTCCACTTGATTAATAGGAGAATACTAAAACCACTTAAAGTCCACTCCAGGTTTTCCTGGTTACAACAACTCTCCACACCGCATGCAGTGTTTCTCCTCGGTCACATGGCTTGGCAGGGGACGCTCATCTCTTGGGGGGGGGGGGGGGGGGTTGGGAAAAGGGAGGGGGGGGGGGGGGGAAAACCTCTGGGTTGCACGTTAGCTTAGGGCCCCGTTGGTCTCGGCGGATGTTGCCTGGGGTGGGGGTGTTAGGATGTGTGCGAGAAGCGGAGTGTGCTCCATTCACACAAGGAGAGCTGTTGGTCAGGCTACTTCTTGTTGTACCATTAACTCTAAAATATTTATTGAATCAAGTGTTTACTTATGTAGATAAACATAGATGTTTAATAACCTGTTAAAGTGCATCAGAATGCAGGATATGGCTAATCTTCGGCGGGACGACCACCAGACACCCCCCCCCCCCCCGACCAGTGTGTCCCCCTACATTACAAATGCTTTTGACGCCAATGCTAGTAAGACATTTTCATCAGTGTTTAAATAGTCTGCGTTCACCAACGTTTTCATTACCCGGAACATCTATGTGTTGATGTTAAGAAATGACTCCATTCTCCTACTCTGAGCCGTTAGCCTCCTATTCATGTTTCCATGACATGTTCCTGCTTTTAGTATTTACATCGCTGTATAATGTAACTGTTTTGTTTCATTTTTTTAAATATAATTTATTTCATTTACTTTTCATTTTATATGCTTTTTTGTTATTGTCTACTGTTGTCGTCTGTGTTCTTTGTTTAAAACAGGTCTCTCTTGTAAATGAGTCCTCAAGGCTCAATGAGACTAACCTGTATAAATAAAGGTTGAATTGAATTGAATCTGCACATCTCTGTATTCTTTATCTGACGTCTACAAAAAGTCATTAATTGTGCTTCTGATAGTGTGAAAATGAGAATTTTTAACGTTTTGCTGTCAGAAACTTTCCAGATTAATTTATGCTACTTCAGCATATAATGTTGTTGGCTTTTGTAGGATACACAAAGATGAAACTCCTTTTTTTTTACCTGCATCACATTCAGTGTTGCTGCCGGGGATGAAGTGGGTGCCTTGGGGGCAGGCGCAGGTGTAACCTCCTGGCCGGAGCAAACACAAGTGGCTGCACGTTCCCTTGCATGGGTTCTTCACTGCAAATATAAACATTAAGGTTTGAACTTCTTATACCTTAGGCTGATTTGGAATAACTAACATATGTTTGTTTTTTTAATAAGAGATTTCTCTTTACTGAACATTACTGCCAAAGCTAAAAAAAAATAACCAGTCGGTACGCAACCCCATTCCAAAAATTAGGACGGTGATTAAAATGTAAATGGCAATCATTTGCTATAGAAAACAACTCATATTTAATTCATATTTCAACACTGTGAACATATAAAATGTGTAACTGGAGGAAATGTACAACTTTTAGGAAGAATTTAGGCAGAAATAATGTAATTTAGAATTTTATGGCAGTCACCAATCTCAATAAAGTTGGGATAAGGGCAACAAAAATCTATAAAGGCAAGTGGCATGAATAAGAAAGCTAAATAATAATAATGACAATAATAATAATTCAATTTGAGATTATTTTTAAAAACCATGAACTCTAAGTCCTCTCTAACAGAGAATTGACCACCCTGTCTATCAGTGCACAGTTCAAAAGCCTGCCTCTCTGATGGTATGGAGGCACATTAGTGCCTCTGGGTTGGAAGTGATGTAGCTTAAATGCATAACAGCACTTGATGTTCTTAAAGTTTGCTGTTTTTCAGACAAGAAAACTCAAATAAGAATTAATTTGAAAGTCTAAACTTCCAACACTACTGTAGATTCCTTAAACAATCTAAGAGGCATTTGTCTATTTGAATAAGAGAGTGTGAATCTTACTGGCGATGGAGTTGTATCTCTGCTGTTGGTACAAAGAGATCTGAGTCAGCCAGGGTCCCGCTGTCAGCAGCTTGACTTTGGCGCCACGACCAAACTTATTCTGCCGGTACACTTCGCCTTTCTCCTGAGTGCTCCAGTAAACGTGGTCCTCAAATACACTCACACTGAAAGGGTTTCTCACATCTACATGAAATGGAATAAATAAGCCCCAAACAGGAAAATAACGTCGGTACAAAATGTGTGAACTATTAGTGCATCAATGTGAGGATAGCTGAAATGTCTGGAAGTACCGTATTTTCTGGACTGTAAGTCCCACGTTTTTCATAATCTGGCCAGTCCTGTGACTTATCAGAATCAGAATACGCTTTATTACCATTGTACTGAAATACAGTGAGATTACGTTTGTGCAGTCATCCGAAAGATGGGCCAAGTGCACGTTGCTGCTGCTCCTAAGAGCACGGCCCCTTATTCTTTTAGATAGAAAAGGGGGAAAGGCCGTGAGAAGAGGATAGTGGTATTACAAAAAAAGATCTCTTCACACCTTGTCCTTATCAGGACACAATTTGAGACATAAAAAACTACCAGCAAGCACATTACATTACATTAAATATGCATTTGACGACAAGATGGTGAGAGTTGTCCATGAAGCACTTCCAGATATCACCATAGTCCTGTTAAGATGTTGGTGTCAGCTGGTACAGCTCTGATAAGCATTCACAAAAGTTATTGGGGTGGGGGGTGGGGTGGGGATGCGATAGACAGAGCCATCCATCCATCCATCCAGTATCTTCTGCTTGTTCTGAAGTCAGGTCGCGGGGGCAGCGCCTTAAGCAGGGAAGCCCAGACATCTCTTTCCACAGCCACCTCTTCCAGTCCTTCTGGGAGGATTCCAAGGCGTTCCCAGGCCAACCAAGAGACATAGTCTCTCCAGCGTGTCCTGGGTCTTCCCCGGGGTCTCCTCCTAGTCATACATGCCCGAAGCACCTCCCTAGGAGGTGTCCAGGGGGCATCCTTACCAGATGCCCGAATCACCTCAACTGGCTCCTCTCGATGTGGAGGAGCAGCGGTGCCACTCTGAGTCTCTCTCGGATAACCGAACTTCTCCCCCATCTCTAAGGGAGAGTCCAGCTACCTTGCGGAGGAAACTCATTTCAACTGCCCGCGATCTCATTCTTTCGATGTTGGCGTCAGCCGGTACAGCTCTGATAAGCGTTCACAGAAGTTATCGGGGTGGGGGGTGCGATAGGCAGAGCCTTCTTAGTTTATACATATCCCAGGAGAAATTTGGTAAGTCGGCCTGCTTCGAGGCCAAACAGGGGAGTCAGATTCAGATAAGACACAGTTGTTGATTTTTTCCAGGCAGACCTTTATTTCTCGTCAGCCTTGGGTTCTGCTGGTACTTTGATCCAAAATGGCCAGATGTGTGGGCCTCCCACTGGTCCGTGCTTATTAGCTCCTTCCAATGTAATCCCCAACATGCTGCCAAGTCACAGACAAGTGGCCTGCGAGTCTTACAAATCACTTCCATCTTATGGTTTAGCTCGTAAATCAGCTGATTTTAAGTGCTCAAAGCATGAACCAAACCTTCACACAGGGTCGCAGTTTTGCCTTGGCCAAAACTGCTGCCGCCATCTTCTTTAATAGCTGATAACATAGGTATCCACTGGAGCCAAAAAAGCAGAAATCCTGCTGTCATGATTCCAATGATATAAACTATATCTACTTATAACCCAAAGCAACTTGTTTACATTTTCTTCCCTATGCATGATGCAATTTTTAACTGGCGTGTTAAATGTTCATTCATACTGACATGAACCAAAGAGTAAACATTACAATTTGCAGCCACAAAAGGGCTCTATAGGCTTTTGACAACTATATGTTGTTCCTCTACCGCTAACCTCTCGCCCAAAACATTCACTTTTAGAGACAACTGAGAAAAACTTAACACAAGTAAAATGCCCCCAAAAAGCTGAGTTGTTCAGAAACGACACAGAGATTGAAGAATTCAATGGATTCAGTGATGTGGAATGAGACTGATTAATTTACCGGTAACTCGCTTGTCGGACTCGTTTGCTTGTTATGTTAATTAAGCCTGTTCAGGACCCCAGGTATGTTCTGTTATACCAGATTAAATGTCTGTTCTTACACTTTGTGAAATACACTTCTAAATAAATGTGACTTATACTCCGAAGTGATTATATATTTTTTTTTCCTCTTCATGAGGCATTTTTTTGACTGATGCGACCTATACTCCAGAGTGACTTATAGTCCGGAAAATACGGTACTGCGTGATCACATATCTTTGATTTGAACCTTCTTTTCAACATATTTGATTTGTCTCTTCCTACTGCTCACCTATAAAAACAGCAGTTCTACGTTGCTCTCCTGAGGGCAGAACAGACTCAATGCGGCTTTCTTTGGAGTCCGACCAGTAGATTCTGTCACTGTTGGTGAAATCGATAGACAAACCAGTGGGCCAACCCAAATTGTCAGCCACAAGAACTTTTCTCTTCTGTCCGTCCAGCCAAGAACACTCAATCTTAGCCGAATCCCCTCGGTCAGACCAGTACAGCATCCTGCAGATGAAAAGCAGAAACTGGTCTCCAAAAATGGTGGTTGAAGTACTTTCTGCAGAGGTAAATGTTACATTCATTTTGTTGGAATGATTTAACACCATTGTTCCCCCCTTTAATGTTGCAACACAATTTTAGCAGCAAACACAACACAAAAAGTGAATAAAACCCCTCAGTCATCAGTTTGTTCTCTTAAGAGGAGGCGATCCATCTTTGCCTGACCCCAGTCGAGGATTAACGGCGACAGCAGATGGGAGACCCATGTCAGTGTTGACTAGATGTTTCCTGTAGCGTCCGTCCAACAAGGCCACTTCCAACCTCTTCAGCTTCGAGTCCGCCCAGTAAAGATTCCTACAAAAATAAAAAGCAATATACGTTTGCAACAAACTTCTTTTTTAAACAATAAAGCCTGCGTCTTTCAAGGTGACCATGTTTATTGTCTGCTGCTAAAGGTGAACAGGCAATATTGTTGCCCAGATCTGTGTGTAAATGTGCTCCTATGTCTGTTTGTTAGCAAAATATCTCATGAACCATTGGGTGGATTTCTTAGAAACTTGCAGAAAGCGATCAATGTATGTGTGTCTACAAGCAATTAAAATTTGAAGACGACCTACTTCAACATGGCTGTCACAACCAATGAATATTAGAAAACTTAAAAATGGCCATTACTCAGTCAAATTTAAATATTGAGCTAAAAATGGTTTGGTAGTAGCTGAGAGTCACTCAGAACACAAACCATGAGCACTATTGCATACAGCTTTGCTGAAAATGGTTGCATTGTTTTTTTCTGTTAGCAAAATATCTCAGTCAACTGGATGAGCTTCACTGAAACATTTCCAGTCAGTGAATGAACATAACGTTTGGAGTGAGCACAGTTCAAGATGGCCACCACAGTTATTCAACCATGACCAACACTAAAATGGCTGTAACTTAGATGTGGTAGTAGTTGAGCATCATCCTAAACACATACTCCAAGTGCTAACAGAGCTTGTAGTATCCATCCATCCATCCATCCATCCATCCATCCATCCATCCATCCATC